AAACAGGGTGACAAAAGAAGTTGCCAAATTTTATGCCAAATTTAATTTGCAATGTTCAAATCTAAGAGTTTCTTTGCTTTAAACAAATAGTAGGAAACTCAACTTTTTTTTTTTTTCTCTCTCAAACAACCAAAGCTACCATATATTAATAGGAGTAGCTTCCGGACAGGAGGGTGTTGTTGGACTCGTGGGGGCTCAATCGTTCAATATGTAAAACTCATCGAGTACTATATACCTGTAAAAAATCACGTAAATCAGATATCGACAACTATGTGATCAAATTAGTTTTGTATAAAAAAAAATGACAGTGAACAAATTATCTATTGATAGAAAACTGATCCAATAAGATAGCTATCAATATCCGATTTACGTGATTTTTTACAGGCATATAATACTCGACGAGTTTTACACATTGAACGGTTCAAATTATCGAAACGAAACGCGTGATAGACCCCCACAAGCCCAACAACGTTCGATCTAGGATTGGAGGAAAGGTGCTGCCCACTAGTACTTTTTTTAACTTATTTTAAATTTAGCTCAAGGTTTATCTATATATAAATTTTGACAAGGCCCATTTATCTCTGCATCTCCCATGGAAAGACTCACATATAACATTTTAATTCCACATCATGTTAAAAATAAATAAATAAAAAGTCACTCCATACAACATATAACAACAGTTAATTATTTTGCTATTGAACCGTTGAAGATGATCAAATACAAGATTTAACTAGTCATTAACAGTAATAATAAGCCTTTTACTATGCCATTGGAGAAGGTCTTACAATGTCATAATTTGACAATATTACTTCAGCAATGCATATATTATTACTCCATTGTTTTTTCACAAAAATTCAAATATAAATAGCAATTTTGAGTCCATCATAAGACATATGGAGAGAACTCTTGTGACTTTACATGCCATCTTGGTCAATGATACACCTATTTAAATGCCAGAAACAATGAAACCTTAGAACATTAATTGATACTGAATCACCCTTTTTCTTTTTTTTTTTTGGATTCCAATATCATATATAGAGAACCCATATACAAACAACAGTAAAGAACAAGCAATACACAAATTTCATATAATGTTCACACTAATTTCCTTTTCTTTTTTTTCCCCCTTTCTTTTGGGAGGTGGAGATGCTAAGCCGAATCAACCGAGTAATACAACAAAATTACATCAGCATACTACAGAAAAAATGTAATGTTCCAAGCGACCGCAACACAAAGTAAGAACGATTATGTTCTACAAGTTGAAATTTATCAATGCTGGATTTTGAGGCCAGATTGAACACCCGATTGAACTTTGCCAAAGAAATGGGTTTCCAGCCTGCGCAACAACCGGTCTAAGGTTAGAATTACAATCTTTCATCTTCTTCTTGATGAGTATAATAACTATGTAATAGTATCAAAGTGAAAAAAATAATCAAAAAAGTAAAAATAAAAAAATCTGGGGAGTGAAGAGCACCATGCCTGCTTGCGCATTTATAATAGATCGTTTCAGGAGAGTTGTAAGTGCGTGCATTACAAAACATCCTCTTGACATCAGCAACAAACATCTCAAAAGTTACATAATATTGCTCCGACTCCACTCGCTTCGACAGTTTTTTCAAATCTGCATGAATATCCCAAGCATCACGATTTCAATACACAACGGGCAAGCCAAACTTTAAAATATATATATATAAATCTCAAACGCAACAGCACAATAAGTGAAGATAAACTTAATGTGCCCAACTATTATCACACCTCTGTGACTTTCAAGTAGACCTCAATTCACAAGAACCGCCAGTTAAGAGAATCTTTGAACTAAAAGGCCTTTAAGAGACCAGCAGTTATTTTATGCAACCACCAGCTCAAACTATGTAGAGGATGATTCTAGATGGTTATAGTTTGACTCGTTTATGTTATTATGACAATTTTTCTACACCAAAGTCACATATTACACTGTCAAAGGCAGATGGCCATAAACAAATTTTTCAGCTAGTTGAGCTGCATCTAATATCCGTGGCTGAAATAAGATAATTAGTTCATTGGCCCACACAACCACACTTTAATGAACTTCCAAAATGTTTGGACCAAATCAAGATAGAGAGGGAAAATGGTATCAGTTTAGTTGAACTGGTCTTACAGTTTAAAAATTCCACAAGCCTGTTGTTGATATTTTCTTTTTTTTCTTTTTTGCTTTATTTTTTTCTTTACCCTCTCAATTAACTAATTGATGTTGTAGTTGAACATGCATAACATTTTATGAAGTAATCCCACAGCTTGAGCAACTGAACTTTCACATAAAACTGAACTTCAAAACTTTGATTACACATTTTTGGTGTCATCCCAGGAATGGTTGTTAAAATCATACAATTCACGATTCAATTCATACGATTTGATATGAGTTTCATAAAAAGGATTGGAATCGTGCTGTTGAATTGGAAACTGAGTGAATCGTACAATTCAACTTGTGCGATTCACTACAATTCATTGCGCCTCTATTTTTGTTTTTGTTTACATAATGCATAAAATGATGTCATTTTCACTTAACTATTAAGATATATAAGAATAATCACTACAGATTAAAAAATGAGATATTTTTAGTTGTTGCCAAATAGAACTTTAGCTTAATTCGTTAAAAAGCAACAGGTCTCATTCGAAAAATCATTTTTCACTAAAAATTAATTAGCATATGTTTTTCTCATCAACATGCCAAAAAAGGGAGAAAAAAAACCGAAAAAAAAAAGAAGAGAGAATGTAAGTAGAAAAGATACAAAAGATTTCATAGTTTTTCGAAAGAAAGTCTATGAACACAGAAAAATATACAGAAAGTGCACTGAACAAACACAAGCAGCAGCTGCTTTTTAAATTTTATGTTAAAATTTGATCGTAGGAATCGACAGGTTCACATCAACATACCAAAATATAAAATAAAATGACAATCGACTCAGAAAAAGTAGTGACTTTGACTCCAGAATATCGTTTAATTGCACATAAAGTGCACAAAAGAGGCACGAGATCGTCATCTCATTTTTTTTAAAGAGAAAATCTAGGGACATAAAAAAAAATACACAGTAAGCACAACAAAGAGACACAAGCAACTTTTATGTGTCCGTCGCAAACCAGTTTTTCCAAATTTTATGTTACAATTGGATCTCCAAGAATACACAATGTTCTCATCAAAAGGAAAAACAGAAAATCAAATGATAAGTTTCTGATCAATCTCTTTCGCTAGCACCATCATGTGAACTCTTTTCAACACCTTCAGCTATATTTCTACCCGAGGCCGAGGGCAATTTCGTCTTTTCTTCTGCATCCCCCTCCTCCTCATCTTCATCTTTGCTTCCTGTAGACAAGAACTCGAGGGCAGTTACCACGTCGCTGATCAAAGGTCGAACACTGTCTTCCTCTTGGAGACACATTGCAGCGATTGCAAGAGCTTGGTACAGTCCTTTTATGGGGTATTTGCCTTCCAACAATGGATCAGCCATTAATGTGAACTTTCTTTTGTCTTTGAATAGAGGTTGTGCCTACAAAAACAAAAACAAAAACAAAAACAAAAACAAAAACAAAAATAGTTAGCATTACTTTTTACTGTAAAAAACTGTGCAGGAGTTTGATATTGGAAACATAGTCAAATTCTTTAACAAAGAGGAAAAACATGCTTGGTAAACGCAAATGTTTCAAAAACTCATATTAAAAACGAGGGTGTGTCCAGAGGGGTTTGGAGGTGGAGAGGGACTCACGAGACGTGGCAGCCAGTAGAGGGGTGGTGGTCAGAGGTGGAGGGGGATAAGTTGGAGGTGGTGGCCAAATGTAGAGGGAGACTCATTGGAGGTGGTGGTCAGAGGAGGTCGCTAGGGGTGGTGCCTGGTGGTGGGGAAGGGAGGAAGGAATGAAAGTTTGTTTGAAACAAATGAAAATAATTTTTTTTTATATTTATAGAATTTAGTAAAATTTTGTAAAACTGCTTGCTTTTTTGGAAAAAAATAAATATCAAACAATTTTTTGTTTTCCACTTTCAAAATTTTTGTAAACATAAACAGAAACTTGTAAATATAGAAGCCCTACAAACATCAGTTTCATTTTGCTATTATCTCTGATATCAGTTTTCAAGAGAACTGAATTTCAAACATTGATAAAAGTTGGAAATTCAAAAATCTGTTGTGTTTTCCAGAAAACGAAAGCAAAAACAGAAAACAAAAAAATAAGAAATGATTATTTTGGAGCTGAGAGAGGGTTTTTCAAGCATACCCAAGTAACCAAATTCTGCTCGTCACTTGGTCTTGCATTGTCTATGACTCTCCTCCCTGTGATTATCTCCAAAAACACTACTCCAAAGCTGTACACATCGGACTTCGTTGTCAACTGACCCGTCAATGCATACTCAGGCGCACAATAGCCATAAGTTCCCATCACCCTTGTGGATACATGGCTCTTGTCACCGGTTGGACCGAGCTTGGCTAGCCCAAAATCAGACAGCTTCGGATTGAAATCCTCATCTAATAGTATGTTTGATGCTTTGAAATCACGGTAAATCACTGGAGGGTTCGCTGTTTCGTGCAAGTACTCGAGTCCTCTTGCTGCACCTTCTGCAATTTTCATCCTTTGGCACCAATCCAGAGGCTTCTTATTTGGAGCTAAGTCTGAAAAACAGAGCTGCTCTAAGTATAGTGAAGTTGCAGAGAAACTTGACTAGAGAAAGTAAACTTAAAACTCGTTTGAGCTTGACTCATATGTTAATTGAATCAGCTTGAGATAAAATTTTAGGCTCATTTAGTGATCAAACGGAGCTCGACTCAACCCTAGCTTGAATAGACTCGTGAATACAATTATATATAAATCAATATTTATTTTATTTCTCTATTTATGTTTAACGTTTGTGCAACTTTACATATTCGATTGATGAAATTTATTAATAATATAATTTTTTTAAAATTATTTTGATCATAATCTTCTCTTTCAACCTTAATTTGCATTATAATTTAGGTTTTTCCTTTTCTTTTCAAACTCGAGCTTGACTCGTTTATGTAATTGTGTTGACTTAATCTAGGCTCAAGTTTCTCAAATACTTAACAAGCAAATCTCGAGGTCAATTCTCTAAGCTTGACTGATTTTTAGCGAGCCAAGCCAGAACACTCCAAAAATGTTAGATATCAACCCAAGGTGGTTCTCCCACTCCACCTACCCCACTAGCTAGTGGATGGGGCTAATGGAAGGGGATAAGTGGTGACCAATCGGAACATCTCTCAATTATGTATAAATTGAGGTGAGGAAGAGGGGTTGAATGGAGAGAAAGAAAACCGAGAGAGAGCAAACCAAGAGAGTGAGAGATGTGAGGCAGAGAGACCGTCTCTCTCGGTGTGAGAGAGGGAGACGGGTAAGTGAGGATAGTGTGAGCTCCTTCTCTTTTGTTATCTTTCTGTAATTTCTCTATTGTTATAGTGATAACTAGTTACTCTCCCGTGGACGTAGGCATTGAGGCCGAACCACGTTAAATATGGTGCCTCTTTGGGTGTGTGTGTTTTACTGCTTGGTATAAATTCTGGAAGGTCTTGGGCGAGATCCCCGATCTCCGACACAAAACTCAATTCGGCTCAACTCATTTGAAATTTTAGATGTGGGCCACACCCAAAAAGAAATTGATCTCACACATTTCAAATTTTGAATATTTTTCTATATGTTTTTTTTTTAGTACGTAGTCATTGCTCTAATTTAAAGTGGTTGCAATTGACTGATCACACAATGTAGGGCATAAACTTATATTAATGCTAAAATACCAAAGTGAAAATAAAAGATTTTGAATTATCCGATCATCTTTCTTAAAAATATATTGCAAATCAGAGCTAGTTTTGGGCATACCAAGAAGATGATCCTCCAGAGAACCATTGGCCATGAACTCATACACTAAGATCCTCTGATCTCCATCAGCGCAATACCCGACTAAATTGACAAGGTTAGGGTGGTGAAGAAGGCTCAACATCAACACCTCCACAAGGAATTCTCTGTTTCCTTGGAATCCATTCCTGTCAAGTTGCTTAACCGCCACATCCTACAAGCAACATGAACATAAAATTGATATCAAAACACACATTTCAATCCATTTTCTGACATATTTTATAATTACATGGAGAGAGAGAGAGAGAGAGAGATAGATTGTATACTTGATTTGAGCTTTCAATGTGCCCTTTGTAAACTCGGCCAAAGCCTCCTTCACCCACCAAGCAGTCAGGGTTGAAGTTCTGGGTTGCAGCAGACAGGTCTTTGAATGTGAAAATCTGAGCAGTAATATTCCCTTTTCCGATCTTCGCTATCTCTTCAGCAATGTACCTCCTCTTGCTTCCATCTGCACATTGAAACACGATCAAATTTCAATCGGGCAAACAAGGTTTTTGGCAAAATAAATCTTTACTGGTTATTTCAAAAAAGAGTACCCCTGTTTTGCTAGCATTTTAGGTGCATCAAGACCTTGTATCAAATTGTAAAATGATCCGTCAATATGCAAAAGACGACTAGCAAATTGAAAAAAGTGAAAATTTTCTGCATTTGTAATGTTATTATTGTTAATGAAAGAACATCAATACAAATACATAATTCTTTTTTAGAAAAGTGCACAGAATGCAATTCTGGCAATTGAATTGAAGGATAGCTTTTCAGAACAAGAAAATTTACTATGCTTTTCTTCAAATTGCAAAATGATCCATCAAGATGCAAAACAGAAATAACAAATTGAATAATGAAATTTAATTACAATACAAAAAAAAAAAATTTCTAGAAAAATGAACAGAATGCAGTTCTAGCAACACTTGAATTGAATGGTAGCCTCACAGAAGAAGAAAAATTTACCAGACTTGAAGGATATGTTAGCAAAGGAGGCCAAAGTTTTCGTGTCTTTATATTCCTTGATGCTTTTCTTCAATGATTTTTGGCTGACTTGCTCTTCGGACATGCAACACGAAAAGCAACTCATCTTTGTTGACATCTAATACCTGCTTCAATCCAACCGAAACCAGATTCTAATTAGAACTTCAAATCAAATGGTGAGATCAGTGTTATCCATATGCATTGTGATTCAATTCAATCCGTGGCATGAACAAGAGGCAAGCAATTCGAGGGCAGGTTTTGAAATTTTCGAGTTTAATCAGATGAGAATCAAAAACCTAAGCCCTGCAAAGGACCAGCCTATTCTGGTCTTTCAGGAAAGTAACGAAAAATTACGCAGTTCCTTGTTCTTCTCCCTCTAGGCTGTTGTGTTCAGACATATACTTGACATGGTCAAATATGCTAATTTTAGTAACTGACAGATATCAATATCTTTTCTTAACCACCTCTCTCTCTCTCACACACACACATTTTCAGAAGTTAGTTGAGGTGGATATTTTATTAATCATGAGAAATGATGCATAATTTTCTCTGTGCTAGCTCTTTATTTTCTTTTCTTTCTTTTTCCAAGTCAATTCTCCCGCCTACCTATTGTTAGCTACCCAAAACAACGTGTGGTGCATTAAGCCAGATCGGATGGCCTATAATCCTCCTTAAATCGGGGTTGTAATCCAACCCATCATGAATGATGATGTATCACCAACCTTCAACATTCACAAATTCTAGTTATTACCGTTTAAGCCATTTGTTGATACATGTAATGTTTGTTATTTTACTTTCATAAAAGAAGTGTCATATTCTTAATCTTATTTCATGCCTAATGAATTATTTTATTGGTTGGTTTGACACCATTTTTATCAATTGTGTGAAGAATATTTGGGCATTCTTTGAATACTAATTTAATTCTTTGAAAATTAAATATCACATTTTTTAATGTCCATTGCTGTTAGTGGAAATCATTACATTTTCTATCAGTTGAGTTGAGGTAGTTCTTTAAAAAAATGGAATGGCTCAATTTAATGAAGAATATACAGCAAAGACAGACTATTCAACAGAAATCTAAAGTTCAATCAAGCAATGTAACAAAATCAGCAGGTATTTAACCAAAATAGGCAGGGCAGAGCATTGGAACAAATACATTTGGAAGATTTAAAATGAAGGGATCTAACTGACTTACCAACCTAATTGGCATTGGCCAAGTGGTAGTCAACTGATCTTAGGTTTTGAACAAGTCAAGCCGAGACGAGTTTAAAAAATGTGTTCAGGCTTGATCTCAAACGTGTTTCAATCTCGCCAATATCTGGTAGATATAGTTTTATAATACATGTAAATTTATTAAGCTGAGTTCGATTCAAATTCAGAAAATTAACAAGTTTCAAAATCTGTTAACATAACAATCTGATCTCAAACGAACTTGTAATGAGCTGAACATAAGTTGAGCTCCAGTAGCTTGGTTCATTTTATGGGCTCAAGTCCCTGGATGTCTTGTCCATCATCGTTAATAACAACAACATTATGCTAAGAACACAGTGTTGGCCAAAAAACATTACAATGTAGTTATGATTCAAGAAGATGGAGAAACAGAATAACAACATTGTGAAATACAAATATGAAAAAGACTACTTGAAATAAAATTGTACAGTACAATTCACAAACTAGAAAAGCACTCAATAAGTCCTTTCTGAAAATATTACATGTCTCTACCTTCTTTTTAGATGCAAAGATGGTGATTCAAGCTAGCTATTCACCACAAGAAGCAAGAATAAATTGTCCACTTCCTTGACATTTTGAATTATCCCAAGGAAAACACACTGCATGTTCTGATTAGGGTTTCTCAACTGTACACCAAACTCGGACTTTTATGACTTTTGTTGCCCTTAATCGAAACTAACGCCTAGCTCTTGCTGCTTTTAGCTGAGCAAAAAAATTCTCGAGTCTGCTAATCCGGGCTTCAAGTTCCGATACCGGAAACCCAGGTATATCGTCGATATCGATTTCTCCTTCATTTTTGTTGATGCTTACCCCATTATCAATCTGAATTCCTGCTCTACTCTCAATTACATTTTCAGTGAATTGACACGATTCCCCCATCACCGCTTCATTACACCTAGTATGTTCTCCTGGTTCCACTTGAGATTCCATCTCTTTCCCATCTCCATTATCTGCAATTAGAGGTGATGAAGTTTGAGGTTTTGTGCATTGAGAAGACTCGAGTATGTGCTCATCTTTGCCAATAGATTTTGCCGCTTTGATCCTCTTGGTTTTGGGGGCATCATTGTCTACCTTCTTTCCCTTAGAACTGGGTGATTTTTTTCTCAAATTCTTTTCCTGTACAAAATTTGATGGAATCCACCACTTCAGATATCGAGTGGTAACATCTGACTCGAAGAGTCGTGATGGAACGTACAATTTTGCATCTCCAATTGGTCTGGTGTAATTTTCCCAGGCAATTTCGGGTGTTTCATTGAACCGAGCCACACGGCCTGGAAGATCTTGATCCATCCCAAATTGCATGGCAACGCGATGAGGAAGATACTGTTCTATACAGTCTAGGCCAACCAACTCACAAGCCCTCAAAAACCGAGCAAATGACTCCAAATCTTCATCCATTTCAGTACAAGACACCCACTCTTCTCTTTCTTTGTAGAACTCATAAAGAAGCCAGCTTTTCTCAGAAATGGCGAAAGGGCGCCATTGGAAGCTGTCTCCGGCAGAGTCTATAACCGATCCCACATTCTCAATACCCGGTCTCTTCGCCTTGTTCCATCGAGCCATTCTTGGCTCCCCGTGTTCAATCAAATTGGGTATTGGCCTCAATGAGGGAAATCTCTCCCAACCCCAAATCTGAACAAGATGCATTGGTGCCCATAAATCAATTAGACCTAGTTCAGCACCATCTTCATTAGTTCTCCTACTAATCATAGAACCAACAATTGCTTCTTTCAACAATCTCAAATCGCGATAAATCCGCGAAAGAACAGCTGGAGCAAGAGCAATCTTTATCCCTCTAGCGAGACGAATCGCGATATGGTGAACATGTTTACCAACATTATTGAAAGAGTTTGGAAAAACATGCCTGGACAACCAGAGTACTAAAAACGCTTCGTGCTCGATTTCGCTTCCACTATTCATGAACCTCTTCGTCCATTGATGTTGATCGGCTTTTCTAGACTTGCTTCGGGTGATTTCAGTTCGAACTCTCAACAATTTCTCATCAATTTCACCCAATTCTTCGATTTCGACAGTACCCAAAACAGAGTCTCCAAGAACAGAGTAACCACCCAACACCACAACATCTTCCAGAGTAACCGTAGCTTCTCCCCATGGAAACACAAACGTGTTCGTCTCAGAACAAAATCGAGAACCAAGCCCTAAAACAATGTCAGTGTCGATACGGATTTGATACGTAGAAGTGATGATTGCTTCAAAGATCCCAGCTTTCTTCCATGTGAGTTGGTGCAGAGATTTCATTCGATCGACCCAATCTTCCCACTTTCTCAGAGGGTCTCGGGAGCCTTTGAATGCGACCTTCAATGGAAGATCAGAGAGATTGAGACTTGGGTTTTGAAGCTCGAAGATTGGGTCTTCAATGGCGGAAACAGAGGGTTTGAGGAAATGGGCGGGTCGGAGAGTTGGGGTTCCGCCAGAGAGTGAGACCATGAGATCTTCTCGATGCTCGATGATGGTGGGTTGTTCAAGGTCCTCCATTGTTGGAGCTCGAGAGGTCTTGATTGATGGGATTGGAAGATTAATTAGTAGGGGTTTTGTGGGTTCTGGATTGGAATCTGAACCATTCGGAAAATGGAGAGTCTGTTGTGCATGTTGACCCAAACCCTATAATGGAGTGTAGCACAAGCTAGTGAAAGACTTATAGAGAAGGAGTCGGGGTCTGTGGCCCCTTTTTGGTGGGTCCAATTCATGATTTCAATTGTTGATTTCATAAGATTGCTAGAAAAATTAAGGAAAAATTACTTAAAAATCTCATTTGGAAAGATGTTGCTCTATTTAGCTATGGAAGTTTTTTTTTTTCAAATTAAATAATCTTTTTATTTATGATATATTTTGGAGGTTAGGTATTTATCAGTGTGATTTTGGTTATGATTTTTTTCTTAATGTTTGAATGGGTTGGTTATGGTGTGGTGTTAATTTTTGAAATTTTTGTGGAGGATTGCGTGGAGTGATTTGTAGAGTTAGTGATGTTTAACCATTTGATGTGAAGGGGCTGATGTGGAATTGTAGTGTTGTTGTTGATTTGTTATTTTATTTTATTTTTGTTTGATTTTAATACTACCACCCATACAAGACCCACTACATACATGATTTTGACAAATGCATCTTCATTACCATGCATTTCAGTAACATGTACACCTCCAACAAATCATCGCCAATAACATACAAGTCATCAACATTCTATAAAAATTCTAACATATCTACAATTGCACACACTGACGTAATGAAATCATTGCTTCCATTGAAATTGGTTAATTTTTACTAACATGGAAGTCACACGTCCTAGCATTTACGTGGACAATCACAATCAAATCCTATACAAAAGTCGACAAAATCTTTCACCACCACTGCAACAAACCTCCACTCAAATAAAACACATTTTCGAAGGCTTCCATTAAACATCCTAAGGCCTCGTCTGGGAACAGGCTAATTTAGTAATTTTTTGGCTATTTGGCTAAAATATAAGGTAAAAAAAACTAGTATATTTTGGATATTTTTTGACTTTTTACGAAAAGATGTGCAAAAAGTAGAGTGAAAAGAGAATCTTTAACTTTTTGGTATGGATTATTGACTTTTTGGCTAATTTAATAACTTTTTGACTTTTTAGCTAAAATGGAGGATTCCCAAACGAGGCCTAAGCATCTATATATCATCAATACCACTCTAAAAAAATGTAACACTCTAATATAACACTCCAAAAAAATTTATTAGTGTAACATTCTAATATAACACATAAATTTTTTTTTTATTGTAACACTCTAATGGCTCCGTTTGGTAAAGCTGTGGGAAAGTGATTATAACTTATACCTTATAACTGTGAACATAAGCTGATTTTTGACTTATAAATTAAGTTTCTCCTCCTCCACTCAAAGAATAAGTTATTTTTGACTTACAAAAAGTTATAAACTGTATTATTAAGCTGAACCAAATACATCAAAATAATTTAAATTAAGTTAAAAGCTGAAATAAGCTGGAAATAAGCCCTACCAAACAGGGCCAATGTAATACACAAAAAAACTCTTTAGTCTATTATTTCCAAACATAACACTCTAATATAACATTAAAAAAAAATCTTTAGTGTAACACTCTAATGTAACACACACAAAAACTCCTTAGTGTAACACTCGAATGTAACAAAAAAAAAAAAAAATCGTGTACTTTTTCTAAATGTAACACTCTAACATAATATTCTAAAAAAACTCCTTGGTGTAATACTCTAATATAATACACAAAAACTCCTTAGTGTAACATTCTAATGTAACACACAAAATAACTCCTTAGTGTATATCTTTTTTCCCCAAACATAACACTTCAATATAATACTCAAAAAAAAAAATTCTTAGTGTAACACTTTAATGTAATACACAAAAAAAACTCTTTGGTGTACTTTTCCTAAACTTAACGCTCTAATGTAACAAAAATAAAAAATAAAAAATAACTTCTTAGGCCTCGTTTGGGAGCAGGCTAATTTAGTAATTTTTTGGCTATTTGGCTAAAATATGAGCTAAAAAAAATTAGTATGTTTGGGATGACTTTTTGACTTTTTACGAAAAGATGTGCAAAAAGTAGAGAGAAAAGAGAATCTTTGACTTTTTAATATAGATTGTTGGCTTTTTGACTAATTTAGTAACTTTTCAGTTTTTTGGCTAAAAAGTTCGGTTGCCAAACGAGGCCTTAGTCTATTTTTCTTAAACGTAACATTCCAATATAAGATTAAAAAAGGAAGAATGTGAGATTTTTCAAACCATTCCAAAATAAATATAAATATTCCTTAGTAAGTTTTAGACAAATGTATAATTTCAAACTGTAGGTGTTACGTTTGGAAAATGAACACTATTGAGTATTTTTAGTGTTTTTGTGTATTACATTAATGTATGTTATATTGGAGTGTTACATTTGGGATTACACTGATTTGAGTGTTACGTTTGGGATTACACTGATTGAAGTGCTACGTTTGGGAAAAGTACAATAAGGATTTTTTTTTAATTTATTTTTATTTTTATGTTACATTGGAGCATTACGTTTGGGAAAAGTATACCAATGAGTTTTTTAGTGTGTTACATTGAAGTGTTATGTTATTGGAGTGTACATTAGAGTGTTAGGTTTTTGTTCGTTCTAAAATTAGGAAAAATTCAAAACTTCTATATTGTAAATTGTTCAAATGTGTAATTTTATATTTTGAGAAATTCACTTTTATCCCTAAAAAATTAAATCCAAACATGTAAATGACTACCCTTTTATGTAATTTCTATTTTAATAAGACATTTGGGTTCATACAAAAAAATGAAGGACTAAACAATTTACAAAATCATATTTTGAGATTTATTGGTATTTCACCAAAAAAAATAAATTATGTAAATTTTTTAATTAATTAGATATAATCATTACATGATTGTGGGGTGATTTGGAAAGTCGGTTAAAAGTTGATTTTTTGAATTTTTTATCCTTTTGTGTGTAAAAAATATGAAAGATGATGTGACTAAAAATGGATTACAAGTTAAAGTTTTGTTTGGTTATGTATTTTTGGCTAAAAAAACACAAAAGACAAAATTATCTATATAAGTTAATAAGACAAAATGTCACATCTAAATCATAATCATTACATTTTTTTTCACAAAAGTCAAAAAAATCAAAAAAATTCAAATCAAACAAGGTTAAAAAAGTCAGACTACAAAAATCTCAACACAAAAAAACTAACTAAAAAAGCCAATGACAAACGAAGGTTGAAATCTGGCTTTTTTTTTTTTGGCTTTCTAAATGGTCAATGTATTATCTATAATCTATGGTTTCTTTTGACAATATTTTTTTTTAAAAATAGGTTAACTTATTGAGTTATTAACTTATTTAAGTTATATTATTTCTCTATTTTTTGTACTTTTTTTTCGTAATAAATAAAAAAATCAGTTAATAAATTATACCTAAAACAACCCTATATTATCAACCTGTTTGGGAAGTAATTTTTTTATTAAAATATAAAATGAAAAAAATTAATATGCCTAGAAAGAATTATTTAATTTTTTACAAAAAAAATTGTGCAAAAAATAGAGATAATGTGAATTTTTTTTGATGTTCTTGTATGTGTTAAATTTTTTTATGACTTTTTTTAATGATTTTTTTGTTTTTTTTAGTTTATAATATCTTCCAAATGATTACAAAATTTTGTGGGTTCTGTTCTATATGCTTGAAAAATTCAATGCAATTTTTTGAATTATTTAAACAATGAAAATAAGTAAATTCATTATGTGTCACAATTTGATTGGTCTAAAATTAAACTTTTAAAGTAAGTCCTTAAATTCTCATGAGTTGTCAAAATGTTGTTGAATTTCTTTCCTTAAATAATACTATCATAATTATTTGTCATTAAGACTTTAATACCTTAAAACATGATATCACAATGACAACATGCTATTTTAATTGACTTTTTAACTATTTTAAAGGGTGTTTAAAATAATCTACATAAATATATTTTTTAGTTTATTATAAAAAAAATATATGAAAAAATAGAGAGATAATATGAACAAAAAAAGATTAAAAAAAATGCTAATATAGGGGATGCCAAATAGTGTATTTGGAAAAATAATTAATTTTTTTTAGTTGATTTGATGGTTATGAGGAAAAAAAATAATAATTATAATTTAAATGTGACTTTCCTAATCTGGCTTCAACAATGTATTAACCACACACCACTATTTTTTTTGGGTAATCAAACATGATGTCAATAAGAATGTACAGATGATGTGAATGTTCACATCACAACACTAGCTACACATATAGACAATAACATATTAAACCACCATTTCATTATTTTTGAAAAACAAAAAAACAAAAAATAAAGAGTTCACATCTTTTGAACACCAACAACACCAATAGCAATCACAATCATAATCACAAAAATGGGAAAAATAACATATAGTCACTGCTTAAAAATAAGAATTTTCACATGTTGTGAACGTTTACATCACTATATTAGATGAGAGAGAATTTTTCGAAAAGGTGTTGTAAACGTTCACATCAGATGAGAGAGAATTCTCAAGGCGTTGAAACCATTAAAGAACTTTCTGGAAAGGTGTCCATTTTATAAGATTATCAAATTTTTTAATAAGTTGGATGAAAATGGAGCTTTTTTTATTTAGGGTTTAGGGACATTAAATATCAACATTAAAGTTTGATGAAAATGGAGATTTTTTGGTTCAGGGTTTAGAGACAGTAAATATCAATATTAAATATCAGAATTAAATATAAGAGTATAAAAGTCTAAGAAAATAGTGTAAATCAAGAAAAATGACTTCATGGAATAAAAATATACATACATAGAACTAAATGGGTTAAAAAATTCCTTCATAAACTTCTTAAATTAGAACACTTTTAAATGAGATTTAAGAATAAAAATCCCATTTTAAAATAATAAAAGAGTTTTGCAACACAACATTAATTTATACAATAGAGCTGCTACAGGGCCCAAATATGTAACGGCTCAA